GATTTGCTTAAATTCAATTAAAAATATCTTATATATAAAGATGGAAAGTGTATTGTATAAAAATTTATAAAAATGTGTCCCCGCGTGCTCAGTAAGTCATTGCCTACTTTATTTATACCAATACTGCTTTTTTTTAAAAAAAAAAACGAAAAGTTACATAATTATTAGTATTAATTAAACCACAGTAGTGGAATCAATAAGTACCCAGGGCTTTATATTTTAAACTATTTTATTGTGAGCAATGACCACTAATTATAAGCAACTAACACTGATTACTAAATTGAAAATAATTAATTAATGGCAATCGGAGCATCACTTAAAGCCCAAAGAAGATGGTTTTAGAGTATCCTTTATAGTTCTTCTGATAACATTTTTTATTCAAAACAAGATGAATAATATGTTCTGTTGTATCTTTCTCTTTTCCTCCATCAAACGTTCATTTAGTTTAAAATATAAAATATAAGTTCTTTTGAAAAAGATCCACTCGCTGCATTTTTCTAATTTTATAATAGGAAAACATAATTATCAATCTTTATAGTTTTATTAAATTTTATTTTTAGTTTTTTAGTTTTTTTCAACATTTTCAATCCCTATATTTTTAGAAAAATTGGTGATGTTTCTTTTCTAAATCCATGTAGTTTCAGTTTTTTGGTATTTTAAGGATTAAAAATACTAAAAAAGTATAAAGATTAAAAGTAAAACTTGATAAAATTATAGAGGCTAAAAATTATATATTTTTTATAATTAAAATCATTATCATGTAGTTTTATTGATAGAATGAATTTTTGCAATTATTCTCCCATCCAAATTGTGTTGACAATTAAAGAAATTGCTTTTTGGCTTGTTGACCATTCAAAAATGCATTTAAATGTTTCTGCTTTGACAAGATAATGTCGGTATTAAACATATTTTTTTCGGGTGGCTATCCAAGTGAACGCAAATAAATTACATTGATGAAATTATTTAATCAAATTTCAAACTAAGTATATAAATTCAATTAGGAAAAACACGTTAATTAAGTACATAAGTTTTAAACCCCTTGGAAATAGGAGAAGAGAATAAATAGAAAAAAGTAACAAAAGGACAAACATTTTAACTTAAAATTTTAAGGCTCAACTTAAAATTTTATATGATGTGAGATTTCCTACATTGACTTAAGTCTACTCACACTATTCATAAGTTAAATTTTTACTGTGACAAGTGTCTATATTTAGTATCTGATTGTGTCTCGAACAAAATTACCTCTAATAAAAAGATATCTATAAGCAATTAAAAAAAATCTACTCATACTTGGATATCCTATAGTAATCCCTTAAGTGTGAGCATTATAAGTTTCTCATATCATAGAAATTACAAACACCAAGTTCTTAGTCTTGCAATTGAGCTTCTTTATTTTTTATTATATATTAATTATTAAGCTCAATTGTATTTAATGTGCAACTTCATCTATCAGTTCAAGTTCATTTGCACTTGGATACTGTAATACTAAAATAATACATGAATTTTAAATTAGGTAACCAGATATCTAAAAATTAATTTGTTGAAATTTACACACATATTTTATTTGTTTTCTAAATAATTGAACAAATTCTAAACAAGCATTTCCTGTAATACGTATTTTTCAACATAAAATTTAATTAGGTTATATTTTAATAAAAATTATAAAAAAGTATAAGCCCCTAAACTTTTCCTCAATCAACAATTCATTTCTTAAATTTTGATTTATAAAAAATCAGTGAGTTTTTGATTCAATGTAACTTAGTCCCATCAATTCCATTTTTTTTATAACTGCACGGCTTTACAATTCCTTAATAAACTACAAAAATTAAATTATACTAAGTTAAAATTTAAGGATTAAATTAATAAATGTGATAATGTTTAAGGACTAAATTAAAAGTTATATAATTTCAAAAATTTAAATTGAAATAAACAAATAAATATTTATAAGATGTAACATTTTAATATATGGATGTGATTGGGAGTAGAGTTGGTAATTCGGGTCAAGTCCGATGGACTAACCCGAACCTGTCAAAAAAAGTTAAGGTCGAGCTTAACTATATTGACTTTTTTAAGAGAATAAGATATTTTTGGCCTGGCCAGAATAAGCTCAACTCCTAAAATTTCTAGCTCTATATGTATATATAATTGGCAATTTCAATCAAACCCAATGGATTAGCCCGAACTTGGCAAAAAAAGTTAGAAAAGAGCTTAGCTATATGAGCTTTTCTAAGAAGGTAGAATAATTTAAATTTAATTCAAATAAACCTGACTTGCCTAAATTATCAATTTTAATTGGGAGTGCTTTGTCTTCTTTGAATGCATCAGGTACTTTTTCTTTAACTTTTTTTCAACGTTGTTTATGTATCAATAGAAGATGGGTGTCATTCTTTTTAAAAAAATGCATAATTTTATTTATATACAAATAATAAAAACAAACTCTTAATGGATAAACGTTTAAAATTCACTTTAATGAAAGAATGAGTGAGATTCAAGTTTTTTCTAGGGACAAAAAAAAAAGCATCCTATGGAAGAAGTAGCACAATAATCTAATTTAACTTAAGGTTTTGCATTTAGCAATCATATTTTAAAGAAAGGATTTGAAAGAAAAAGGTGGGAATTTTTTTGTGAGATGATTTGTGAAGAAAATTTCTCATAATTTTTTAATAAAAAAAGAATTCATATTTTCATTTATATTTTTTTGTGAGACGATTTGTGAAGAAAATTTCTCATAATTTTTAATAAAAAAAGAATTCATTTTTTCATTTTTTTTCATTTATATTTTGTACCAAGTTCAGATTTTTTATCTCTATTCTATTTTATTGTAATCACTAATTATTATTTTTTAATTATGGATACTTAAGAGATTATTTTTACCCTTATCTTGCATCTTTTAAAATAAAATAGTTTGAACATTTAAAAAGAATATTTTGCAAAATAGGCCATTCAGATTTGCTGGATAGTTCAACTTTGATGTCAAAAAGCAACAGCCAGCAGCAACGGACTTGGTTCTGTGAAGCCTGTAGTCTCCATCCCCATTCAAGAAACCCTGCAATCATTTTAACAAAACACCATCATTTCATGTCTTTTATGTTATGAATAATTAGCCTTATAAACTAATAAAAATACTAAAGCTTGTCAAAGACATAAAAGGAAAGAGAGGGAAAAATCATTGTCTCATATCTTATAATTCGTTCGCACCATAATATAAGATTTTTTTTAAAATCTTACTTAGTTTAAAATATAAAGTATTAGCTAATTTTATAATTTTTTCAACTATACTCATACTTTATTTATTACTCGTTTTTAAAAAATAATGTATTACATTAAAATTTTAATTTATCAATATCAATGTACTTATATAAAGTATTTAATAAGGGTATAATGGTAAAGGTATAATTTTTTTTAAAAGATTAAGGTTTCAACTATTTTTTTTAATAGAATTGTGAATTAGTCATCTAATATCTTATATTGTGGTCAAAAGGAAGTGATATAGAAACACCATATTGCTTTCATATTGTTTATGACTTTATGTTTTGGAGATTGGCTCTAATTCTAAGTAGAAAGCAATTTGGTTGGCCAAAAAAAAATGAAATGTGATGGTTTGATAAATAAAATGAGCATAAATTAGCTCATTGGCAAAACAATAAAAATAAAAATCTCATACCTAAAACATATGGATCAAATTAATTTTTAAAAATTTGGAAGTGTGGCTAATTTACGTTGATATACAAGAGATTTATCATTAATATATAATGAGTTTATCATGAATATATAATGTATTTATTATTAAAAATTTATAAAAGGTTTATCATTAATATACAACAGGTTGTCAAAATCATAAATTTAAGTAAACTTATGATAAGGATGTAAATTTAAAATGTAAATTCGAATTGAAAACTTATGAGAGTTTACTACTATTAATAAATAATCTTTAAAAATGCACAATTAAATAATTAAAATATAAAATATGATCATAATTTAATTTAAATATATTTCAAATATAAATCATTAAAATTAAATCTATTTACATTCATAGAGTATTATACTCAAAGTAGAATTTTTAAAATAGGGCAACTTATTTTTAGTATTTTTTATTTTTTTATTAATATTATTTTTTGTTTTTTTGAGTTTTATTTTTCATTGAACCGGATCTTACCACTTCCATAAATCAAGTTCTACATAATCCATGCATATTTTACTCAACGAGTTTATGAGAAGATTGACACAATTTTATAAGTTAAAAACATAAAAACAGTAATCTTGAAGAGTCAATTAGCAAGTTTAACAAAGTTTTATCTAGTTCGAATTGATCAGCAAGTTAACATATGTAAATTAAAAATATCAAAGCGATAAATTCATAAAGTTAATTTAAAAGTTTGACAATAATAAATATATTATTAACAAATATAATAAATTAATCATTATATAAAATATAATAAATATTATATTATTTGTTTGATTTCATCCTATAACATGATTTATATCTATAAAAGCTTCAAAAATAAAATTATGAATTGATAAGGAAGTGAAAATAATGAGCTATGAAATAATGGAGAAGCGAGAATTTAAATTGATGACATTATTTATAATACCACTTTTCACATTTTCAGTCTGTCATCCCACTGCTTCCTTTATCTCTATCATTCCTTTTTTTTTTTTTTTGATAAAATTTATCTCTATCATTCTAACTCCTCTATCAAATTTTTTTTAAAATTCTATCACACGGTATTTTAAAAAATCTAGAGTATTATCATTTTTCACCCAAATTAATTTGAATTTTTACCGTGTAAGATTATTTCAATTTAATTTATAATTGTCTTTATCTCATTTCATTATGACAAAAATTATTCAAATTTGTCAAAGATACATCGGGGGAAAAACAGCTTTAAAAAGCCATTAATTTTTTTAAAAAATAAAAATTTTAAAAGTCTCATCCAGCCTTATTTTGTCATCTAGCGCGGAAGGCCGCCATGATTATCTCTCTTTCTCGATCTCTTTAACAGCGAAGCCTTGTCATTTCACTTGACACACAACACAATGTTATAGCTATCATCACTGAGCTCTAGATCACTCCATTCATGGAGCTCCACAAACTCGAAACCCCCAAAACTAACAGTGACCAAGTCGTCATCAACATGGATAATCATCAGCAACATCCAAACCCTAAACAAGATCATGCTTCTCAAGAACACCCTACCAGTACTCTCTCTCAATCCCATCCCGGAAACAGAACACTAAAACGTCTCAATTTTTCCAAACCAAAGTCACGTTTTGAAGAGATCAACTACCCCATCCCCCAACCCAAACCAGCGTACAATCCCATCCCTGAATCAGATGATCAACAGCCCTTGAATTCGCAACCAGAAAACCCTACTAACTACTCATCCACCGACGACGATGACGACGAATGGTTCGAAAACGGTGACGAGTACGGCTGTGACGACGCGGATGAAGCCACCGGAAAGTATAGGAAGAAGAGGAAGCGAAAGATCAACAAGAGGGCTTTACTGGAATGGACTTTGTTTCTCATCATCATGACTTGCCTGATATGTTCTCTTACTATTAAATCTCTCAAGCACAAGATTCAGTGGGGCCTAGAGATCTGGAAATGGTGCTTGCTGGTGATGGTAATCTTCTGTGGCCGTCTAGTCTCCGAATGGGTAGTCCGGATCATCGTGTTTCTCATTGAACGAAACTTCATGTTGAGAGAGAAAGTACTCTACTTCGTGTACGGTCTTCGAAAGAGTTTCCAGAACTGCGTGTGGTTGGCACTAGTTTTGATCGCGTGGACGATTATGTTCCAGGAGGCTCATAACAAAAACAAAGTCCTCAAGAAGTTCTTCAGAGCTCTGATCGCCATCCTCGTCGGCGCGACCATATGGCTGCTAAAGATAGTACTAGTTAAAGTTCTAGCGTCATCGTTTCACGTCGCAGCTTTCTTTGACAGAATGAAAGAGAGTGTTTTCCATCACTACGTGTTGGAAGCACTCTCTGGGCCGCCGTTGGACGAGGACGAGATGGAGCTGCCGGCGCGGAGGCAGTTGCAGGCGTCGAAGTCGATGCCGGCGAGGCTAAGGTACGAGAAGTCTCAGCCGTTGAAGTCGAAGTCGAGGAAGGCCGGGGATGGGGCGAGGAGGATTGACATTGAGAAGCTCAAGAGGCTGAGCATGGATGGGAGAGCGACGGCGTGGAGCGTGAAGAGGCTGGTGAGCTACGTCATGTCGTCGGGGCTGTCGACGATTTCGAGGACGGTGGACGATTTTGCAAACGCCGAGTCTGAGATTAGCAGCGAGTGGGAGGCTAGGACTTGTGCTCAGAGGATATTCAAGAATGTTGCAAAGGATGGGGCCAAGTAAGTATGTTCATCCTTCTATGTCATTAATTAGCTATATCTGTTTTTGTTATTATTATTATCATCATCATCATAAAAAATATTAATATTAATATTAAACATAAGAGTATATCCTAAATGATAGGAAAAAGTAGCACACAACATTTGGTTTTATGTATAATTTTAAAAAAATTTAATTTAATCTTTTAATTTTATAAAATATTTTCTCGGTCCCTGATTTTAACCTCATTATTACTTTCGTTAAGTGACATGTTATTATTACAATTTTATTAATGGCATAACATTCTTAAATATTTATATATTAAATTTAATTTTAAAAAATAAAGATGACTGGATTGAAAATTATCATTTGAGAATTCTTTGTTATCATTTAAAATTTCGGTGTAAGTATTTTTCTATTAATGAAATTAATAATGTTAATGTTAGAGGATAAAAAATATTTTAAAAATGTGGAACATTAAATTAAAATTTTATGTAAAGTAAGAGGATTAAAATTCAAATTTTATTTAATTTCTATGAAAAATCAACAAAAGTATTTAGAAAAATTAATCAAATGAAAAGGACTTGATTCTCTTTTCAAATACAAGTGAGAATTTGAAACAAAAAAATTGTAGGGAAAACATAGCTTTAGGTATTTATATTTTGCTCAATTTTTACTATAGATTTATGAACTTTTTTTTAATATTTTAGTTTCCTGTATTTTTATTTTTTGATATTCTAAAATATAAAAAAATGCATGAGTTTATAGCAAAATTTAAGTGTAAAAATTTAAAGTTATTCTTTTTTTTTTTAAACTGTATTAAAAGAGATATCCCAAATTGTAATGACAATGCTGGAATATGATGTAATAATAACATATACTAAGATGGTTTTACACACATGTATGTACATCAAAATCAGTTTTAGTGCTTATTATACATAGGGATATTGAGACTGTTTATATCTAATTTGAATAGTCTATATTTTCAATTTTTTACTTTTATTTTTTCAAAAGAATATTTTATTGAATACAAAATCTAAAAAAGATAGTTTTCAAAAAAAAATATTTTTTATTTAAAAAACACCTGTTAAAAAATTATAAATCTAGATCATAAAAATTAAATTTAAATTATTCAAATATAATAAGCTTTCCTGGCTAAAAAAATAATAATAATAAGCTTTCAATGCTCATGTATACGATAAGTAATAAAATTGGTTCCAATACAAATGAATGTGAACGTAGTGCTGAAGCGCTTAGGTATGAATAACGAAAATATTAAATTCACATTGATTATAATTGATGTGTTTAATATTAAATTTATTTTGTTCAGAGTATATTTAGATAATTAATTTATAAAAATTATAATATTAAATTAAATTATTAGAGTCTCAGATTAAATTGCTACCATCTAAATTAATAATGAATTTATTTATTCAAAAAAATTTATAAATTTTGTTTTTATAAAATATAGAATTAAAAATAAATTTAAAATTAAAAAAAATTTGAATTATTCAGATTAAAAATTTAGATGACTCAGATCTTTAGTGGGTGATGAGCACATGTCAGCACTGAGGACGAACCGGACTTTATTATGGGCGTCTTTATTATAATAGTTTCTCTCTTTTATTGGTATGACTATATCATTATGGACGCTTCCTACTTTCTTTCAGTCTTCTGTTGTCTACTTTTATTTATCTTTAAAGCTGTCATCTTCAGTGTGTCTCCCAAAGTGGACATGTCATTGTCTCTTCATCAGCTTTTGTAATAAAAAGAACAAAATAATTCACTCTCATTTGGCTACTTTCAATATTTTTGTGAGACCCATGTTAGGTATGGAGTCATGTGTACCAAATATCAATGGTTATAGTTTTATATGGAAAATGACGCAGGAAGAGTGGGAGACCATGGATAGAGAAAACATGATACTGAACCACCATAACTTTATGAATTTATGGAGAAAAACTAGCGCAACCATAAATTTATGAATAATTTAGAGAGAAAGAATAAGTTTTTTTAATGGAAAAACAAGAAATAAAAGAAAATGTTATTGCGCGATCAATATCCCCTCTGGTACCTATTATAGGATGCATTCTAGAATAATGTTTGTATTTAATATAAGGCAGTTGATGGGGTGTTAATTATATATTTTTAATATTATTTTTATTTAAATTCATTAACTATGAAGAGAATGTAATACAAATTCAGAATTTTTTACTTAAATAGGGGCAAAATTAAAAATTTATTTTATTTTAAGCCAAAGTTAATGACTCAATTATTCTTTCTTGATTCACATAAAATAGTTAGAAATGCCATATAATAAGACTAAAGAATATATAATTCAAACGTATATCTTAAAAAGTATTTGGCTACAAATATAAAAAGAAATTAATTATAAATAGTGGAAGAGTTTAGTTTAGTTGTAAAATTCAAAAAATCAATTGATTACCTTTTTGCGTTGTGCTCTGTTTTTTTATTTTTTATTTTTCTTTTTTATAATTCAACCAGTTTCATTTGATTGTGACAATAATGCAAGAGAATCCATAAAGTAGTATAGTATTCATAAATTAGTAAAAGTGCACTCTCATCATGCCCTGTCTAATTTATTGAGTAAAAAATAGAATAATATATTAAAATTGATAATTCAGGCTAACATGCTCGAAAAAAAATTAACTTTTTATATTATAAAAATTATATATTTGATCACATTATTTTACATTTAAAAAATTAAAAGAATTAATATTTTTATTTTTTATTATTTCTAATTGATAAAATATCTTAAAATATTATTTAGAATGTATTTAATCTTGATTTTCTAACTTTAAGACTCTCAAATTTTCTTTTTTAAAAAATTGAGTCTTCTAAAGTTTTAAAAAGCATATTTTATATTTTTATAATAACAAAAACAATTAATTTTAAATTAAATATTGAAGTTTAAAAAAAATAAAAAAATAATAATTTAGGTATTTGGACTAACTTGAGTAAGTTGGAAGCCCATGGGTATTAAGGCTGAGTTTATTTATATGTGTGTGCGTTTTTTTTTTTTTTTTATAAGTTTAGTCTGGCAACTTCAAATTACTGACTCTATAATACATATTTTGAAAATATTTCATTATTGTTAACAATCTTAATCTTAATTATATTTTTTTAAAAAATAGTATTATTCCCTATGACCTCACCGACATGAACAGATCCATAATTCTTTATCGGTGTAGATTTATAAATAAAAAAAAGTCTTAACTCCAAAATTTTTAAAAACTGAAATATTTGAGGGTACTTTGTTTTATGAGTCAAGTTGCCCTCAAATTATCGGGATGTTGGTTAAAACAAATTAAGATTGGATTTTTCCCTTTTGTCCAAATGCATATTGATTACTATGATTTAGGAAGCTAAATTATTCATAAGACATGAATAGTAGCATTACTATGGACTTCATTCACACATCAAAGTTAGAAATAAATAAATAAATTCAATTGTCTTTTTTGGGCATGGGCTGCTCTTAAATGTTAAGTCCTTGATCAGCCCGTTTGTAATTACTAAACATATCTAGCTAGACTTGAACAGTAGTATTTATAGTTTAGACTTATATAGTGTGGCTTGTGTTAGAGTTTTTATATTATACATGAGGAAAAATATAACTATGAATCCCTATATTTTTATCATGTTTTGCTTTTAATTAATCCTTGTATATTTTTTTCAATGTTCCACATCCCTCTAATTTTTCTTATTTATAATGTTAGTCCTTTTATTTTTAAATATGCATAGAGGGACAATGATATGGCACTAATAATAGTGTTAAATTAGTTGATACATAACTAACAATGTTAATAATGAAAATGCTAGCATGTTTAAAATATAATGAGTTAGTGATATGAATTAGTAGTAGGTAAAAACAAAAGGGAAGATTACTTTCTTACAAAGGCTGTTTTGGACTTTTGGCCACAGGTCCTGTTACTGTTGAAAGGTGACTTTCAATCACTGTGGATCAAACCTTTTACCTTATGCATCAAATATCCTAATTTAATAACGTTTGTGCGGCGTCGTTGTCCCTATGGGCATGTTTAAAAAATAGAGGGACGACCAACGTTTCAGATGAAAAAATATAAAAGGATTTAAAACATTAAAAAAAAAATATAGGGATCGACAACAAAACGTAATAAAACTAGAGGGAAGACCAATAATTATATTTTACCAAAATATAAATAGATTTAGATGTACATATATATAATCGTTTCTACCTTTCTTCTTGTGATGAATTTTTGAAGGAAATCCTATATTGATTAATGTTTTGGGTTATAAATATTTCAGATACATAGAAGAAGAAGACTTACTCAGATTCTTGAAGAGAGACGAAGTGTACATGATTTTTCCTTTATTTGGAGGAGCACTGGAAACTGGAAAAATTACCAAGTCCTCGTTTCGAAATTGGGTGGTAAGCCTTAATTAACTAACAATTAGCTTCTTAATATATACACCCTCCAACACAATGAAAATTAGAAAAATTTTTAGGTTGATTGGGTGCACCACTTCATTTATTATTTATCCAATTAAAATGTTTCAAATAATCTAAATAAAATTTTATGTGATATTTTTTAAATTAATTTTATTTTTATAATAAAATATACATTTGATTTCTTGCATTTTTTTCTCATCTATCATTAATATTAAAATCAATTTATATTTAATATTATTTAAATATCATGTTTTTATTAGATAAATTATAAATGATGTGGTGCATTTTGTCTATCTAGGTATTTCTCTGAAAATTAACCTCCCTAATTAATACTCCCAATAAGAACTTTTATTAATCCAAACAGTGGAACCTCTCCCTATATCTATATATACATACATTTTTTATTGCCAAAAACTCAAACTTGAAACCTTAATTAAGTTTTTCCTACTCAGCCTAACTGCTATTAATTTTATCTATGTTGTATGTATATATGAATAAAATGCATTGACTTCCCTTCTAGTTTTCTTTAATTATGAATACATTCTTTTTATTTTTTAAACATATATTAACATCTGCTGGAATTAATAGTTTAGAAATGCAAACCTGTCCCTTCTATTTTTAAAATTTTATTTTCATATACACAACCATTAGTTAACCATTAAGTCATATATATTGGACCAAAATACCCTCTTTGAATAAAGATGTTATTTGAAAATCATTCAAGATATTTAAACAAATTAATGCTTATATTTTAAAAAAATTTAATTTATGTTTTAAACTTTTTAGTTTTTCAAGCTTATTTATTTAGTAATCTTAAAAAAATATAAATGCATAACTTGTCTAAAATAATATTTCAAACATGCATGCAAAAAACTTAATAACATAGGGATGTACTATATGATAACAAATAGTAAATATAATTTATTTTTTTATTTTTATTTAAATTTTAGGAAAAACATAGCTTTTGGTCTTTATACTTTACTCATGTTTTGCTTTTAGTTATGTATTTTTTTAGTATTTTTGGTCCCTACATTTTTATTTTTCATGTTTTTGGTCCTTCTAAGATCCCTATACTTTGTTCATAGAGGGACCAAAAATAATGAAAAATAAAAGTGTATAGACCTAAGGTATCAAAAAAAAGTATAGAGATTAAAAGCAAAATGAAAGCAAAGTATAAGGACCAAAAGCTATATTTTTTCTAATTTTATTAATTTGAAAAAAATATTTCAAAATTACTTATTTTAATATTTTCATACTTAATTATTTAAAGTTCCTTTAATTGAGGGGACAAAGAGTAGGTAATTAGATTATTGGGGAAAATTAATAATTTTAAGTTCTTTAACAAAATTAAAAATAAAAATATTAAAATATTTTTAAAATATTTAATAGAATATTCCTTTTTTAATCAAAATTTAACAGAATATTCCTAATAGTATTGATAATTGGACTAAAGTGTAAGTTTTGAAATAAAAAATATATATGTCATTTTAGTAAAATGAGAGGGAATCCCAATTTAAATTTTAATAGTTAATTTGAATTAATAGAAATTTAAAAAAAATATTTAGAGGTAAGCAAATTAGTGGGAGATGATTATTAAATCTAACTTAAGATATAATTCTAAATTAAAATTTTAAAAAAATTAAAATTAATTAATTAATTAAAAAATATTAAATTATTATTATTATTATTAAAAGAAAAGGAAAAGGTATAAAAAAACAAAAGAAAGAAGAAGAAGAGAAGCTTTCGGCGTTCGTCCGCGTGTAATGATTACATATATATATTATGTAACAGCAGGGTCTCACCACTGCCTCTCCAGGGTCTTTTGGCGGTGTTGGAACCCTTTCCCTCACGGGGCTCAGTCCAGCATTCGGCACTGGATGGGTAGGTTCCAAAAGACCCCCGTGAAGGTGAGGTGAGGAATAGGCACTGTACCACCAGTGCCGAATGCTGGACTGAGCCTCGTGAGGAAAAGGGTCCCAACACCGCCAAAAGACCCTAGAGAGGCAGTGGTGAGACCCTGCTGTTACATAATATATATATGTAATCATTACACGCGGACGAACGCCGAAAGCTTCTCTTCTTCTTTCTTTTGTTTTTTTTATACCTTTTCCTTTTCTTTTAATAATAATAATAATAATAATTTAATATTTTTTAATTAATTAATTAATTTTAATTTTTTTAAAATTTTAATTTAGAATTATATCTTAAGTTAGATTTAATAATCATCTCCCACTAATTTGCTTACCTCTAAATATTTTTTTTAAAATTTCTATTAATCCAAATTAACTATTAAAATTTAAATTGGGATGTTACAATTCTCATCTCTTAATAGGAATTTTGTCCCCAAAATTTGAATAATCATAGGGAACATACCTTGCTCAAACAAATGAGGATAAGAATGTTTCATCTTCTCCTCAATTTTCCAGGTTGTATTACCAGGGGCCATTCCTTTCCAGATTACCTTCACAAGGCAAATGGTTTTATTTCTCAATTGCTTCTCCCTTACATCCACAATTCTTTCTGGTTCCACTTAATAGGTCATGTTTTCCCTTAGCTCAACCTCTTCAGGTTCTATTATATGAGATGGATCGGGTTGATATTTTTTTAATTGAGAGACATGAAATACATCATGAACTCTTGACAAATGAGGTGGCAAGGCAATTTGATAGGCCAAAGTCTCAATTTTTTGTAAGATTTGAAAAGGACCTATGAATCTAGGAGTTAATTTCTTAGCTTTTATTGACCTCTCAATGCCTGTCATTGGTGATACTTTCAAAAACACATGGTCGCCTGCCTCAAAAGTCAAAGGTCTACGCCGCTTATCTGCATAGCTCTTCTGCCGACTCTGAGCAGTCAACAATTTTTGTCGGATTGTCTCAATCCTTTGAGTGGTTTGGTCAACAATGTTTGGACCTATAATGCTTCTTTCACTCAACTCGGTCCAACAAAGTGGAGATCTACACTTTCTACCATACAACGCCTCATATGGAGCCATATGAATACTTGAATGATAATTGTTGTTGTAGGCAAATTCCGCTAAAAGACCCTGGGGAGGCAGTGGTGAGGTCGTGCTGTTAGCTTAAGGCCTACAGAAGTGATGTGAGTGGGTCGTCGACTCTAAATTGGATTCAAGAAAGTCCTCGAGTTCAATCTGCAGAGATGCAGTGTCGGAAACGACGTCCTCGGAGCCAGAGAAGTTGGTTTCTCGTATAGGTGATGGGCTGAGACGAGTGTGGAGCCCAACAATATTTGGCCCAATAATAACATGGCCGATCTAACACAGGCATTCACATGGTCCCAAGTGGAGTAACAGAACGGGGCTTACATCTTCGTGGTCGCTTTCATTTTATGTAATAGCACAGCCTTTACCACTACCTTCCCAGGGTCTTTTGAATGCTGGACTAGGCCCCGTGAGGGGAGGGGTCCTAGCACAGCCAAAAGACCCTAGGAAGGCAATGGTGAGGTCGTGCTGTTATATAAAAGGTTGACTCAATGGTATCAGATTTAGCTTTAATTTTGTTAAAGTGGTAGAGGTTGGAGGATCGAATCTGGGGAGGTTCCAAAAGACTCCCGTGAAGGTGGGGTGAGGAATAGGCACTGTACCACTAGTGCCGAATGCTGGATCTAGGCCCCGTGAGGGGAGGGATCCTAGCACCGCTAAAAGACCCTGGGAAGGTAGTGGTGAGGCTATGCTATTATATATTTAATATGTTAAAAGAGAGGGATGAGTACAACCATTCAGTAACCAAGGTACATCTAAGTTGTACAAATGCATGATAATTAATCATGCATGCAAGTGGCTAATAAGTTTATCAAAGTGACTATGTAAATAATCACATTAATAACATGTTAATCACATTAGCATCTAACTCATGTGAACAATCTCAAGAAGAAAGTCAAGTACAAACTTTGTACAAATTGCTATATATACATTATTCACAAAATTAGTACATATTCTCATTTCCACAATTATAATCATATTCTTAACATAGCCATCAATCACTCAAATGGCATGATAATAATAATATGCATGATCAATCTTTTCCTTATATCCCCCTTATTTCCTCTGACATGAAATCCGTGGGCCAACAACCAGAAGGGATCGTCCATGTGGTGAGACTACTCAAAGCCTTAATCATATCATGAGGGGCTACCAGGCCAGGGTTACCTTACTTATGAACACGGTTTCTCCCAAATCACACACTATGGGGTGTCATGCCCAAAACTAGCTCTATCCAAAACTCCAGGTAAGCCAGTAGGGTTAAGTCCCTTAATAGGAACAATGCTACAGTACCTTACAAGGTAAGTAGCGGCTATAACCCCTAGGATTATTGATTAATAGCCAAGTATCATATGGATTTGTATAATTGCTAACTCCTTTACTAAAGCGAACTCCCGTCATATGATCATGCTCATGAGAAAATGTATTTCAAAAACTCATATATATAATTCAAAATTATCCCATATGCTCATCAACTTTCTTGTTCAACAAACATCAGGAATTATCATATTTCAATCATGCCTCTTGCATCAATTTTTAAATTATCATACAAAACCACATTAGCATCATATAAAACTCAACATGCTCATACAATTCATCACTGTGCATAATTCACAACTTATAACCAAGAGTGTACACATAATCATCAACCATCAATCTCATTACTCACAAGTCATAAAGTCTCAACAAAGTCATATGCATTACAAACAACTATTTCAAATTATATATATATATATATATATATTCTTTTATTTCACTAACATAATTAATTAATTAAGATACAAATGTATAAAATAGATTTCTCTCGATTACCTCAACCTTTGAGAGGTTAAAGGTTACCCTTCAAGTTACAACACTTTCAAAGCTTTCCAAAGCTTGAATAGTGTCAAAAGAAAATTAATCTATAGTTGATCATATCTCAATGTGTCAATAATATTATTAACACAATTTTCACTCATACTCTAACACCTAAGTATTTATTATATTTTTATATATTTTTTTTAAGAATTTAGTCTTAGTCTCTTGAATTCTAAAATTTAATTTAATGTATTTGAACCTATCTACTTGGTTCAATAGTCTCCTTCACAATAATTTCATTCAAATAATTTTCTAATATGAAAATTTCTCTCTTTATTCCAAATATTTGCACATAAAAATACCCAAAAATTGCAAACTTGATTTCAAGCCTAGAATCATTATTTTATAGCCATAATAATTTATTTCTCATCTCAAATAATCATCTAAATATCAATAAATCAATTTATATTTTCAGATTTAATTAAAAATCTACCTATAGGGATCTAGGGATAAACTCAAATGCCTCAAATTCTAATTCTATCAACAAAATAATACTTTAGAATATTTATTACACTACTAACAATCTTAAAAACTATATTTATTCAACATAAATTCATCCCTCTTTCAAACCCTAGGTTTTCTAAAATTTCAGAATCTGCAGCTTAAAGGGAAAAACGACTAAGAAAAAAATATTTAGAACACTTACCTAGTCATATGAATACTTGAATGATAACTGTTGTTGTAGGCAAATTCCGCTAACGGTAAATGCTTGTCCCAACTACCTGTCCACTCAAGTGCACATGCGCGTAACATATCTTCAAGAGTTTGATTTGTTCTTTCAGTTTGACCATCGGTTTGTGGATGATATGCCGTACTGAACTTCAATTGAGTACCCATAGCATCATTCATCACCTTCCAAAAGTTCGAGGTGAACCTTGGATCATGATCTGAAACCATATCCTTAGGCACTGCATGTAATCGCACAATCTCGTGGATATACAGTTCCGCGAATTTATCCATGGTATAACCTTTTCTGATAGGTAGAAAATGGGCTGACTTCGTCATTTTATCAACAATGACCCATATTGCATCGTACCATGCCTGTGTTTTAGGCAAACCCATAATAAAGTCCATGGAAATACTTTCCCACTTCTAGGTTGGAATTTTCAATGGCTGCAATAAACCGCCAGGCCTCTGATGCTCTATTTTCACCCTCTGACAAGTTAGACACTTGTTCACATATTTCGTCACATCATGCTTCAAACCATACCACCACCAGTACCGCTTCATGTCTTGATACATCTTGGTTGCTTTGGGGTGGATAGTGAATTTGCTTCTATGAGCTTCAGCAAGAATTGTGTCCTTCAACACTTTCACATCAGGAACACAAACCCTCCCATTGTAGACTACAAGACCACTATCATTAAAAGTGAAATCTGTGCCAGTCATCTTCTCATCTAAGTTCTTTTGAACTTCTAACAAGTATGGGTCTTCAAATTGAGTTGCTCGCAACTTATCCCAAAATTCGATTGTAAGCACCGTAGTATTCAAATTGAACATAGCATAATCTGGGATATTTTGTGAAAAACTAGAGAAATCTTCTAATAATTTTTGTTCATGAATCATCATACAAGCTACATGCACGGTCTTTCTGCTCAAGGCATCGGTCACTACATTGGCCTTCGCCGGATGGTACTTCAGTTCAAACTCATTGTCTTTTAAGAATTCCATCCATCTTCTTTGCCTCATATTCAGCTCCTGGTCTACCAAATATTTAAGACTTTTATGATCGCTAAACATTTCAAATCGTGCACCAGAGAGGTAATGTCTCTAGATCTTAAGAGCGAAGACAACAGCTGCTAGCTCTAGATCGTGAGTGGGGTAGTTTATTTCGTGAGGCCTCAATTGTCTCGATGCATAGGCTACAACTTTGCCATCTTGCATGAGAACACATCTAAGACCCTTAAGCGATGCATCTGTATAAACATCAAATGATTGTTTAGGATCAGGGATAGTTAAGACTGGTGCAGTCGTCAACTTCTTTCTCAAGGTGATAGAAGCCTTTTCACACTCTTTGGTCCACAAAAAAGGTTTGTCTTTCCTGGTCAATTTAGTCAATGCCGATGCTATTTAAGAAAACCCTTCAATAAACCTCCTATAATAGCCGGCCAACCCTAAGAAACTTCTGATTTTTGATACTGAGGTCGGTCGTTTCCATTTCAATACTGCATCAACCTTGTGAGGATCAACTGTAATAACTTCCTCAGAAACAACATGCCCTAGAAACTTCACTTCATTAAGCCAAAACTCACATTTACTCAACTTGGCATAAAGTTGTCTTCCTTTCATTATGTAACAGCACGGCCTTACCACTGCCTCCCTAAGATCTTTTGGCGGTGCTGGGACCCTTCCCCTCACAGGGCCCAGTCTAGCATTCACCATAGGTGATACTGTGGCTATTCCTCACCCCACCCTCACGAGGGTCTTTTGGAACCTCCCTATTGACTCAATGGTACCAGATTCAGCCTCAATTTCGTTAAGGTAGTAGAGGTTGGAGGATTGAATTAATGGTACCAGATTCAGCCTCAACTTCGTTAAGGTGGTAGAGGTTGGAAGATCGAATTTGGAGAGGTTTCAAAAGGCACTGTACCACTAGTGCCGAATGCTGGATTAGGCCACATGAGGGGAGGAGTCTCAGCACCGCCAAAAGACTCTGGGAAGGCAGTGGTGAGGTCGTGCTGTTACAGAAGTAATTGCATTTTACTTTATATATTAATTACAATAAGGAAACTTTTGCATGATCACACAGGCACACACGTATACACCCTTTCACCATATGGTATGCTTGGATAGAGATTTCGACATTCAGAAGGTCATTATGGCATGCCACCTAAGTGCAAATGTTTGCATATTTACTGTGCTGCTATATGAAAATCCGTTTGAAATTCAACTAAAAATCCACTTGGCAAATACATCTTTAAATAGCTTTTTACTTTTCAAATAGTTGAAGTTAATTTCAATTGATTTTTATATGGAAAATTGCTTCCAAGCTAAACAACTATGAAGGCGGTTACTTACAGACAAGGACAAATATAGAATGAATTGTTGTTAAAATAAAAACATAAATTTGTTATTTTTCAAATGATAACTTTTTATTGGTCATTATCTGTGAGTAATTTTTTTCACAAAACATTGAATGTGATTTTTCCATTTTTATATTATTCAAACGAATTTTTAATTTATTAAACTGATCTTTGAAAAATATATCAAAATATAAATAGACTTGTGACAAATGAACTTTTGTCAAATTAAACATCAAACACACAAATATATATGTGTGTTCTTGTTTATACATTTTAGTAAGAAATTCTATCGTGCACATGTGCATACACATGCGCATACTTTATAAAATTAAGAGATTAAATTAAATTTTTATATAAAGTTAGAAAATTAAAAGTATGTTTTAACATATTTTTATATATAATTTCCTGATGAGGTTAAATTCAAGCATTGTTGAGTTTAATTGAAAGTAGCTCTTCTAAAGATATTTTATATATTAACACGGACTCGAACTCAATTGAGACGTTGTGCTGAATAATTAAAATGAGGATGATGATGCATGCATGCATGCAGGTGCAAGCGTACGTAGAGAGAAAAGCATTGGCTCATTCATTGAACGATACAAAGACAGCGGTTCGTCAACTACACAAACTAGCGAGTGCGATTGTAGTAGTGATCATTTCTGTGGTGTCCCTCTTGGTGATGGGTTTGGCCACAACCAAAGTCATCTTCGTCGTCACTTCTCAACTCTTGCTCGTAGGTTTTGTGTTCCAAAATATGTGCAAAACTGTCTTTGAATCCATCATCTTTGTCTTCCTCATGCACCCTTTCGATGTCGGAGATCGTTGTGTCATTGAGAACACTCAGGTATGCGTACTTATACTATACATCATTAACCATATTTTTCTTTTGCCTAATAATACTATAAAGTAGTTATTGGATTGGTAAATTTGGATTTGATTCAAATCCATGTATTTAAAATTCTTTAGTTGGGTAGTGTAAATAACAAGGGTGCATATTTGAAATAACAAGGGTTTTTTAAATTATGAAATTGAAATAAAATTTTTATTTAAATAAAATCAAAATTCATAAATTTTTAAGTGTTCACATGAGAGATTTGGCCCAAATCTAAGTTTATATGTATCCAAATATAGCATAAGGAAAATACTCCTCCAAGTTCCTACTATACTTTGATAGTGTTTTGTTTTTAGTTTATGTGGTTTATTTTCGTGGTTTTTCATTCCTTTTATTTTTTTCATCTAAAATGTTATTCTCTATATTTTACAAATTATACTTAGAAGGACCATGACATATTTCAAACGATGTTAATTTTGCTTAGGTGAATTTAACATCACTGTTAAACCCATTTGCTGTCAAGGAAAAACATGTTGACCTAAAAAAATTATAAAATTTTTTGATTAAAAAAATTATTTTGATTAAAAAATAAGAAAATAAATCCCAGATCCTTAAAATGGCTACGTGCAAAAGTGAGAGACAAATACATCAAATAAGCATTAGGGTGTTGGACCTCAACAAAATTAACATTGGTTGGGTCAACTCATGGTCCTTAGAAGTATTTTATTAAAAAAAAACGGACTAATGTTTTACACAGACCAAATAGAAGGACTGAGAAACTGTGAAAATAAGCTGCATCGACTAAAAACCATACCTGATTATTAAAGTATAGAGACTTGGAATGGTATTTTCTCATCTATATCTATTTAGCAAACATCAATATAAACTAGGCATGCGTGTTTTATATACAGCAATACATAGAGTCTAAAAAATAGGGCCTGTTTGTTTTTTATTTTTAATTTTTTTTTCAAAACAACAAAATTTAACAACTTATTTGGATAAGTGTTTTTAATTTAATTGTTTTTAAAACTGATTTTATTTTTTTATTTTAAAAACAAAAAAATAGAAACAATTTTAAGTTGTTTTTATTTTATTTTTTTATTTTTAAAATATACTGCATTTGATTATTAAAAATTATAGTTATCTTGACTAATTTCTATGATAAATCACTATCATTAACTGTCAATAATCATTATTATCATTTTGTTTTTTAATTATAAAATTATTTTTAAATTAACATAACAAATGAATTTTTATTTTGTTTTGTTTTAAAAAATTAATTTTTAAAAACTGTATTACAAAAAAATTTTTAAAAATAAAAAATATGAACAGAAACCAAATAAGCTAATCACCTTTTGCTTTTATTTGTTTTTATTATTACTACACAAGACTGATATTCTAGTCTCTGTGGACATATAATCACAGAAAATGCTGTCGTTTCTTGCAGCCATTCCAGATCATAGTTATGAAACCCTTTTTTATGATCAAATACAAGACTCTATATGTAAAATTTTACGAAATACATAGTTATATATTATGACTCATTTAAAAAAAAATGTTTTCTCCCTTCTTTTTTCAGTGAAAACATGGTGGGAACAAGATCTATTTAACTTGATTAATTAAGTGTAATTCTAGAAAACTATAAGAACTTGTGACGTTTAACTAATTTTCTTAATCTATATTAATTCTAATAAATCCTTATAATAAGTATGGGAGGAATTATAAATCACAAATATATATATAGAGAGAGAGAGAGAGTGGCAATGGTGATAATTCATGAATAATAATGAGTATAGCACATTTATATACGAGAGAAATATTATTATTTTTTTAATTATATGTGAAAACAGGTGAATAATGTGGTTTAAATTTGCAGATGATTGTGGAAGAGATGAACATATTGACAACAGTGTTCTTGAGATATGACGGCGAGAAAATATATTATCCAAATTCAGTTCTTCTGACGAAACCAATAAGCAATTTCAGAAGAAGCCCAGACATGGCTGACGCTGTGGAATTCACTATTGACGCCTCTACCTCTTTGGACAATATCACTGCCCTCAAGAAGGCCATTCAAGCGTAAGCACATTACATTCTTAATTAATTAGATTTATCTCAAGCATATGGATATATATATATATATATATATATATAAACATAGATCTGGTTCACGGGTTGGCTTGGCCCTTGTGGGTTCAAACCTAAAAGCCCGGTTATTGTAAAATTAATCATTTCTTTAAGTCTAACTTTTATTGATTGGATTGTGCTAGGTTGGTGAGACCTTTTTCCATTTTTATAATTTTTATATTATAATATTACATATTTTTCTTTAAAATATAAAATATAATCTTTAAAAATTAAAAATAAGTAATATAAATTCAAATTTGAAAACATAAACATATTTTAAACTCTCTATTTATTTGAAAAATTAAAAATATTTTATTTTTAGTGGTAAAATGGAAAAGGTAGAATTACTCTAAAGTTCCATTCAACACAATTAAGCACTCCTAGGTTTATTGATAACTTGTATTGTCATTCTTCTTAACTTAATTGTCAATAAACTTGAGACTAATTAATTGTATTGAGTAAGATTTGTATGTAATTATGCCAATAAAAAAGGGCATAAATCGATCGTCCGTGCTCGATTTCCTTTTCATAGGGTCAGGTTTAATTATAAGCCTGGTTATACTAAAAATTTTCAAATTTTCAAAATTAAATATTTATAAAAATGATCTTAAACAAGTGGCCCATCAAACTTAACCTTTTTACTCGGGCTCTGTATAGATATGAGCTAAGGATCATAAAATTTAATTATGTGATTGCAGGTACATTGAGAGCAAACCGAAGTACTGGAATCCAAAACACTCAGTGATAGTGAAGGAGATAGAGAACATGGACAAGATGAAGATGGCTCTCTGCGTTCAACACACCATTAACCACCAAAACTTTGCCGAGAGAAACGGCCGGCGATCGGAGCTTTTGCTCGAACTGAAGAGGATTTTCGAGAGCCTCGGCATTAAGTATCGTCTTCTTCCTCAAGAAGTTCATCTCACACAGGTTAACCTTGGCAGCAACAATAATGGAGGCTTCTCATTTTCATCTTACTAATAATATATGTGCAAATGTTTCTGAGTTATTATACATATGCTCACACAAGAAGGGAATTTATAACGATGATATCAATAATATGGTTTTGGAATATTCAAACACAGTGCAGAAGTGTGAGTACTTGAGTTTGGTTTTGCTATATATAATTACTTTGTTGTAATATAGTTCTATATCAAAATAATTCTTTTTAGGGTCAAATGCATCGCACGAATTTGGATCTTCTCAATTTGTCTTCGTTTTAATTTCTAATTATTGCATTAATTTGGATTGATCATTTTTTGTTATAAATATGCAATCTCTTATAAAAATAGAGATTGAGAGGAAATGAGAAGACTAAAACTAGAAGGGGGGAATGAGAGAAAAGATATTTCTTATTTCGATGAGTTGACTACATCTGGGTTGCCCGATTTATAAGCACAGATATTACAATTAAATTAAATAAAAATTTACAAAATAATAATAATCAAAAGATATGGATATCCAAATAATCTTTTAAATATTCATAACATAAAATGAGAAATAATTTAATATAATATATCGTTAATTTAAATAGATCCATTTCTTGAGATTCTGTGCTTATGGACAACCAAAATTTAAAAACCAAAAGTAAAAAAAAAAAAAAGAAATTGACTTTTAAATATTAAAAGCTGTTATTTCTTAAAGAAAGTTGCGGCCTATGTTGTTTTTTTTTATAGCTTCTTGTATAAAAAAGAATACTCCCTCCATTAAAAAATATAAAGTATTTTTTGAAGAGCTGGATGTTAAAAAATATAAGGTATTTTTAGTCTTTTAAAGTGTATTCATTATCTTTTTTTTTTTTTCAAAAGTGTCCCTATTGATGGTGACTTTATATTTATTATATGGTAATTAATAAGGGTAAATATAAAAAGATATGGTTAGTTTAAAAATAGGTAAGAACTTTATTGGAGGTGAGATTTAGTTAAAAATACCTTACATTTTTAAATGGAGGAAGTATGTTTTTTATATGGAAATAGATGTTCTTCAAATTGAAGATGAAAACAATGCTGTGTTGCTCGCACAGTATAACAAAAAGCTATTTGCTTTCATAATTGGGATGATTTTTTTGTTGATAGCCAAATTTAGTCCCTAATTTATACATACATATATACATATAATTTAAAGAAAAAAATTGGGGAAACTGGCAGTGAAATTCTAAAAAATTGAATTAATGATAGTTAGATTCCTGACAGAATTTTCTGAAAAATAAATTATAAATATCCATTTAAATGGTTATAAACAAAAATTCTTATTACAATCTAAAAGTTACATTTGAAACTTGATTAATACTTACTTGCAATTTAAATTTTTGAATTTGCAATTATTTGGATTGAGACTTCAACTGTTTTTTTTTTTAAAATATGTTGAACACCAAACTATTATTAATTTAAGATTCTAGGACCTAATTGTCATTCTCCCAAAAGTTAGGTTGTGCACCCAATCCTAGAGATCCTTGTGTCTCAGTGCTATAAGGTATATTGATCCAAGTAAGGCCCTTAAACGTCTCTCCCAGGCAAACTCTAGCCATTTTAAGATCCTCAACTTCTTGACACTTCAACCCACGGATCTTTAAGCGTAGTGACATAAGCTCATACACATGGATCATAGGTTAGATTCTTTCTAATGCATAGGTTCCTCAAAGAAGCAAATGCAAAGCATACTTGAATCTTAGTGTGACATATACAAGATATTAGGGAATCAAGCTTTCAAGAGATAGTGAGAGTTTAGAGAGGCATGATTGAGAAAACATAAAGGATTTTTATTTCCAAACAAGTTCTGCCTTACAAGAGAAGTAGAAGGCCCCTTATATAGAGATGGAGCCAAGAGTCAAAACAAACGATACATGATTGCAAACAAACAAATACTTATCACATGCCTAACAGGGTAAAAGTAAAAGTAGGGGTAAAAACAAACTAACATGACTAAAGCAAACTGCTTTGTCTAAAGTCAAAAGTGACTTTTTGACAAAATTATATTAAGACAAGACAGATAAAGGAGGACATGACTAAAAGCAGATTCCTTTTATGATTAGCGCAAGCTTTTGTGGATGCATTCCTAGTCATGTGACGGATTGAGCCAAGTCTTTTCTTCCTTTCAACGCCTTCTAACGGCAAGGTTGTCTCATTTGAGCTATTTTAGTTGTTCTTCTTCCCAAGCATCTTGATACATATCTTGAGTAGGTTCTGGAGTTGATATGTCCTTTAGCTCTGGAAATAGCTGGTAAGTTTAGGTCTCTATTTGATATAGGTCCCGGTTGTCTGGTGGGAATGATAGAGGTGTGGATGATGATGCTCCATCATAGGATTCCATTCAAGTAGAGTATCTTATTTGTATAGCAAGGCTTGTGAGTCATTCAAGGAATTGATATTTGATAGATAAAAGGGGACTACTTAGTAGAATAGGTTGGTGAGGGATTAGTCTGAGGGAGGTGCACTTAAGATAAGGATCTAGAATAGGATAATTATTCATTTCACATAAGAATTCTTTTAATTTAATTAAAGTGGAATTTTCATGTGTTGTCCAGTCAGTGATGTTCTTCCATAAGCAAACTTGGTTGGCCACATAAAGTCTTCCCTTACTGTTGAGGTGATAAGGGTGATGAAGGATGAAAAATTAATAGGCCTTTTGTTCATGTAGAGGGATCTCTTATAATAATTCTTTTTGGACTACTCTAGAGAGTTCTTTGCACTATTTAGGGACAGGTGAGAACTATTCAAGGAGCTTTCATAGGGTTGAACCTTCAACAGCTAAGTCATACAGGAAATGATATATTTCTAAGGAAGGAACTTGTCGTACCCGAAAAAATGCGACGCGGACGGCGCCCGAGCGGAGATCCTAGCCTTCGCGGCGGGAACCGGATCGAACGAGGAGTTGGCACTAAGATTTTGAGGTAAATCTCGAGAAACCGATTAATGGAGGATAAGGATGGTCTACGAAATCAGAGAATAGGTTCGGGAGTCGGTTGAGTGTGGGGAAGGTGTTAGGCACCCCACAACACCCGTTCGTTAGAACGGTTACCTGAAGTTCGTTGTGCCTTTTTAATATGGTTTTATAATTATTTTAATTATCCCTTTTATATTCATGTGTTTGATATAAAAATGATAAGAATTAGGTGAGAAATGTTTATTTATTTGGGAGGACGGACTTGACTCAGAATCTAACTCTGAGGCCTACGTACCCTGTGATGGGGATCAAAGTCCACGTAGTTCGGGCTTAAAAATTTGTTGGTGAAAATACTTTGTGAAGGGAAATTAATTAGAAATAATTCACCATTTTGCAAATAAAACAATTTTTAAAATTTTGATATGTGTGTTTTAAATTGCAAAAGGTGATTTAATTTTAATTATTTTCTCCATTTTTGAATTTTTGGAAAAAAGAAAGAAAAGGGTTTAAAATCATTATTTTTTTAATGTTTTATGATTGAGAATTTTAACTGCTATACCTGCAGAGCCTTATTAGTTCATACGGTAATGCAATTATTCTAAGTATCTGCAGAGATTCTGGAACCTCACACGATAAAAGAATTTAGCAATTTAATTTATTTATTTTTAAGTGTTAATAATAGTTTGCTTAAGAATGTATATATGTTTTTAAAGAATTTTAATCATCATACCTATATAGCCTTATTGGCTTATACGATAATATGATTTATCCTAAATATCTGCGGAGATTCTAAAATCTCTCACGATAAAGGAAATAAATTTAATTAATTGATTTAATTAATTATATAATATATATATATATATATATTAAAAATTTAATCGTTATATCTGCAGAGTCTTATTGACTCATACGATAATACAATTATCTTAGAAGTTTGCGGAGATTCAAAAATCTCACATAACTAAAAGATATAATCGGTAAATGTGATTACTACTTAAATTCATTAATTTGATTAATTAATTTTTCTAAATTGTGTATTACATGATTATTTACAAAAAAACATTTATTTATTATAGAAATTAATAATCACTATATCTGTGAGGACTTATTATCCCCACAATGATGTGATTAATTTAAATCTCTACGAAGATTTTTGAAATCTCACATAAGACTTAAATATATTATTAATTTAGGTTATAAAAAAGAAAGTTAAATTTAATGATAGGCCTTTTGAACTCATATTAACATACAAGTTTTACTCTCATATCTGCGAAACCTTATTAATTTACACGATACGAGATTATCCTAAATATTTGCAGAGATACAAGGTCTCACATGATAAAAGGATTAAATAATATTCGCTTTGAATATATTTTAATGCGTAATTATATAACGCATATTTTTAAACATAGAAATCTTAATCGTTATACCTGCGAAGCCTTATTGAATCATACGGTAGTACGATTATCCTAAAGGTCTACGGAGTTTCAAAAATCTCAGATGACCAAAAGATATAATGGGTAAATATAATTATAATTTAAATTCATTAATTTAATTAATTAAAATTATAAAAAATGTTTTTTATTTTATTTACAAAACTCATTTATTTATTTACCGTATAAATTGTGAATCACAATATCTGCGAGGATTTACTATCCCACACGATAATGTGATTAATTTAATTCTCTACGAAGATTCTTAAAATCTCACGTGAGATTTAAATATTTATTATATAAAAAAATTTAATAATGGGCCTTTGAAACTCATATAAATGCCTACAAGATTGATCCTCGTATCCACAAAATCTTATTGATTTCCACGATAAAGGATCATTTTGTGGGGATTTAAATTTTTTATTATGATAAAAAATTTTCTTATGATATGGGTTGTTCAAAAACACATTCATTATATAATCAAGATTTTTAGCTTAACAGAATCTAATTTGTAAAAGTATGTTTGAGTTTTAATTATAGGCGGCCAAAATCAAATCTATAGTGTGATATATCCATCACTGTACCTTATAACAAGCTATGCATACATTGAGATTAGGAAATGATATAATATAAGGCTGCATGAAGTTATGAAAAACTTGTATTAAAACCTGTGCAGAATGAAGTTGATGGATCTTTCTGCAAGTCCTTAAGCTCCTTCAAGATGTGCTTCAAAGCTATATCACTTCCTCCAACTGATGGATCGAATCAG